GAACTGGCTTACAGGATCTTGCAGAATATGACCTCTCTCTTCTCTCTCCTCATTAGGATCAGGAATTTTGCAGGTGTGGAGTGGGCACACCTGCAAAGGTTGCCACACCAGAAGCTGCTGATAAAAACAGACAACATGCACATATTCACATGATTACAAGGGGAAAATAAGTTTAAAAACTCCCTTACCTTATTCCCATAAATATTTTTAATAAGAAATGATTATTGACACTTTGGTTTTGGAGTGCTTTGGCACAGCACTAAGCATGGTGGTGACAGATTTTTTTTTGCATGAATCTATAAAATTCTGGGCCCCATTCGGTGGGTACAAGTGCAGGGCAATGGCATTGAATATTGGCACTATTTTTCAAAGGCGATGGTGATTTTGTCTATCTCACTTCTGAGGGTGACAAAGGCACAGTAAACACAACTGGTAGTGGCACCTTGAAAGCTGCATAGGCCCATTTTACACTAGCCTGCTGTCTGAGATGATGCCAGCCACACTCATCACAGAGAGAAAGAAAAAAAAGACCTATTGTGGAGAAAGAAATAAGGTCAAAATCCATAGAAACCTTCCCAAGAGGATGACAAAACATCTCCATAAAAGTTCCATCAAGATTTCTCATTGGATGCTTACTTTATTTCTGATGGTTCTACCTCTAAATGAGCATAGGATACTGAATCCATATGATTTATGTAGGTCCAACTGCCATAATACCATTCAGAAAGGCTACGTCTACACTGCACACTTATTTTGGAATAAGCTATTCTGGAAGAAATAATCAAAAATAATTTATTTCAAAAGAGTACTTCTGCACACTACATGCTCATTGAAATGGTGATTAGCTATATCAAAATAGAGTGTCCACTCTCATTGGATGCTGAATCACATTTAGGGCTACCCAGAACCACTTCAGGCAAGGGATCAGGACAGCAGTTACTTCCTGTAGCTGCTGCCTGAAGCTATCTGAGATTCACGCTTAAAGGGATCCTCCTGTACAGCAGTGTCTCAGGCCCTTTTCCTTTGCCTACTTCCTTGAGGAACAGCAAAGCCTTTTCTTTACCTGCTCTGATTGTCCTTGCGGACACCTCAACACTCGACGGCTATTGCAGCTTGTGCTGCACCTCATGCAACAGTTTCTGCAATCTGCCTTCCAGACCCTGCAGGAACCCAACCCCCTGCTCTTCTTGGAGACCCTCATTGGCTCTCTGCGTGAATGGCTTTTGCAATTGGATCCTATCCACCCTCCCCTGCACACTGTGCATCACCACTTCTGGCGTCTGGACACCAGTTTCAACTGGTGGGACCAGCTCGTCATGGAGCGGTGTGAGAACCAGCAGTGACTCCAGAATTTCCAGATGAGAAAGGACACCTTTCTGGTCCTCTGTGAGTAGCTCACCCTTGCCCTCAGGCGATGGAACACTCACAAGAGACCTCTAGAAATGGGTCACCATTGCCCTGTGGAAGCTCACCATGCTGGACAGCTACCGATCTGTTTGGAACCAATTTGGCGTGGGGAGATTAACCATTGGGGCCCTGGTTGCAGGTATGGCGAGCTCAGATTATTGTCCCAGGAGAGGGTGAATTGCTGGAATGGGGTTCCTTAGGGAAGGGGTGGTGGGATTGGTGGTGGAAGCCCCCTCACTTAGAGGCTTTTCAGTCTTGCCCTCACAAAGCCCTGCTGGGGGATGGGGTAAGTGGAGGATTGCTCCTGCTGTGTTGGGGGGAGGAGGGTTGGGAGCCTTTCAAAGGCTCTGGCAACCCTGCAATTCTCTGTTTGTTTTTCTCCTTCTACAGGTGGTGCAGAGCATCAACAATGTGCTGCTGTGCAGGGTCATCAACCTTGCTGACATGGGCTTCCCCAGCTGTGTGTGTGTGGGAGCTATTGACGGCACCCATATCCCCATCCAGGTCCCCAAGCACTGGGCATCTGTGTACATTAACCAGAAGGGGTACTTTTTGATGGTCCTGCAGGCCATCAAGGACCACTGACGCCAGTTCACAGACATACGTTGGGTGGTTGGGAAAGGTGCATGATGCCTGTGTCTTTCGCAACTTCAGCATATTCAAGAAGCTGCACGCAGGCACTTTTCCCCCCGATCACACCATCAGGGTCATGGACATGGACATGCCCATGTGCATTGTGGGGGGATGCAGCCTACCCTCTCTTGCCCTGATTAATGAAGTCCTACACTGATTACTGTGACCACTCCAGGGAACAGTTCAACCCCAGGCTCAGCAGAGCCTGCATGGTTGTTGAGGGCACCTTTCGGCATCTGAAGACATGGTTCTGATGCCTCCTCACCAGGCTGGACATTGGCAAGTAGAACATCTCACACATGGTGGCCACATGTTGTGTCCTTCACAATATTTTTGAGAGGAAGGGGGAGGGAGGGCAGAGGCTGACCGCATCTGCAGGGTGTTCGAGCAGCTGTGCACGGCTGCCATCCCACAGGCCCTTCAAGGGGGCCTTGTGCATTTGGGAGACCCTGAGGGAGCGTTTCTCCCAAGCATCCCCAGTGACATTCTTCCCTGGGCCTCCCCACTAGGGGCCTGTGCATTGCCCCTTTTGCCTTTCCTCCTACACCCCTCTCTTCCCCCACTGCAGAGACAAAAAAACACACTTTTTGATTTAGAAAAAATAAGCTCTTTGTTTTATTATTTGGGGTAGAAGTGACTGGGGAAAAAACGTGGGAGAAGGGAGAAGAGAGGAAGAAGTGGGAGGAGGGAGCTGGAATGGGGGAGGAGAGGTGCGGTGAGGCTCAGGCCTGGGGCTGGAAGTGGCGTCTGGCTCTGGTGATCCCACCACCACTGGTGCAGGGGCCTCAGCAGCCACAGGGGAGGAAGAGTAGTTGGGGGAAAAATGGGAGGGGCAGAAGCAATGGCAGGAGCAGGCAGCATGCTGGTGATCAGGGACTGAACTGCTGCACACATGGTGTGGCCCTGCTCCTCTCCTGGCAGGCGTCTCATTGTAGCTGGATGTCTTCCTGAAGTCTCTGGTCCCGGGTCTGCTCCAGAGATTGGAGTACTGCAAAGTGCACCCGCTGGAACTCGTCCATGGATCTCCTGCACCAGCAGGTCCCTTTGCTCCAGTCCCGGCACGTGGTCTCGCCCCAGGAGCAGCTGGGGCCGGGGCTGTGGGAGCTTCTAGGGCCATGATGGCAATACTAAAAATAGCACTGTGGCCCTGGCTCCAGCCCCCGCAAACTGCTTTCCACATGGAAGATAGAAAGTTAGTGAAGGGGCAGAAGGAGAACTAAGGAGAAAGTGGGGGTGAGGAGAGGAAGGGGTTTGTTTGGGGGGGGAGTAGGGCAGGAGAAGAAAGGGGCAGGCACCAAGGGGCAGGGTGGAGGACAAACAAATGCCAGGGGACCAGGAAGACACAATGAGGAAAAGGGCAGTGGGGAGGGGAAGGAAGGTGTCAGTGGGGGTGCGAGAAGGGAGGAGACAGGGTGATGCTGGGAGAGGAAAGGGGAGGGACAATGGGGGGGGACAAGAGGGAGGAAGAGGAGAGGGGAGGAGTGGGTGCCAGGAAAAGAGGGGTTGAAAGGAGGGATGAGCATGAAGAAGGCAGGGGATGGAACAAGTCATGTGTGAGGGCTCGAAGGGGCATGAGGAGCCAGTGGAGGGTGAGCGGTGAAGGGCAGAGCAAGCACCAGGGGAGCAAATGGGACGACGGGAGGCTGGGAGAGGTTTATAAGATATTTATTAATAACTTAGGGCACACATCTGAACGAGCACACATACTGGTGCACACTCCAGTGTGCAATACCTTATCTACCCTTTCTTTGCTACAGGGCACAAGCTATTCGTTATCAGCTTTCAACTGGAAGAATTCCTTTCCTCTCGCCTAAGGAATACTATTAGGACAATGTAGCACTTTAAATACTAACAAGATGGTTTATTAGATGATGAGCTTTCGTGGGCCAGACCCACTTCCTCAGATCAAATAGTGGAAGAAAGTAGTCACAACCATATATACCAAAGGATACAATTTAAAAAAATGAACAAATATGAAAAGGACAAATCACATTTACCCTTCCCCACCTCTAATATCATTAACTCACAGACACTTACCTTCCTTCCTCCCCCTTCCCACCCCCCCGCATCCTCCTTCTGTTCTGAAATGTGATTTGTCCTTTTCATATGTGTTCACTTTTTTTTTTAATTGTATCCTTTGGTATATATGGTTGTGACTATTTTCTTCCACTATTTGATCTGAGGAAGTGGGTCTTGCCCACGAAAGCTCATCATCTAATAAACCATCTTGTTAGTCTTTAAAGTGCTACATTGTCCTGCATTTTGCTTCAGCTACCCCAGACTAACACGGCTACATCTCTACCACTATTACACAATTAGCTGCATTCGGAGTGGGCTATACATTCCTTTGAAGCCTCCTGCACTGGCCACTTGGAGAGGCAGGCTACTACAGAAAATAGACTACTGATGGCAATTCTACAACAAAACTTTTCCATTATCAGAGGAGAAAGACTTTAACAACCCTCACTCTGGCCCTAGGAATGAAGAAGAGATGGCACCAAGTTTGGACAGTCTCTGCCTGCAACAAGGGAAGCCTGGCACCAGACTTGGAGACTGGGCAATCTAGTCCAAGTCTCTATGCATTAGATCTGTCAAATTTCTCCTCAGACTCAGCATGGTGGCAGCAGGGCAGAGGAGCCTCTTCCCCTCTGAAAAGGCGGGACTTTGAGGGGAAAGGTTAAAGAATTTCCCTCCAGCCAGCAGGGCTGGGAAATGAACGTGTTGTGGGAGATGGGCCCAGGAGTGGGCACTGTGGGCGTCAAAGCGAGGACGCCTCCCTGCTTTACTGGCGCCTTTGGGCGGGGGAATAGTTTGGCTCAGACAGGCAGGTGATGAGGGGCATCGCAGAAGCGGCGGCAGCAGGTGCTACGGAGCATGCGCACAGCGCTCGGGCATGCTCAGTGTCAACGAGGGAGCCCAATCTGATGGGGAGCAGAGCCTGGCACTCGGCAAGGGGGGGCGCGGCCGCCATTTTCTCGCTGCCTCTCTCCGCTCGCTGCCTGCGCGGCTCCTTGCCCTGCTTGCCAGCGCTTTGTCTTGGTCGGCGATGGACGGGTGAGTAACGGGGCGGAGGGGGAAGCGGGGGCCGCTGCCGCCCGCCGGGGTTTTGTTGCCCTCCCGTCAGGGGCTGGGTAGAGCGGAGCTCGCTCCCCGCCCCGTGGCGGGCTGGGGGGGGGGGGAGCAAGGCGCCCAGCACGCCCCGCTGAATACAGTAACGGGATCAGCGTCTGGGCCCTCCCTGTGGGGCAGCTGGAGGCCGACAGGGGCCCAGTGAGGATGGGGGCGGGGACGAGACAGTGTATAACGCGGGGCCGGGCCGGCCTCACCCAGGGCTCACGTAGCGCTGTGTTCGCTCTGCTGCCCTGTCGGGGTGTGCCCCACCCCACCTCTTTTGTGGGGTTAGGGGAATGGTGTGAACAGCACCCTTGCTTGTTTGGGGTTGGCCGGAGAGGAGGAGCAGAAGCTGGAGGAGGCAGATGTCAATCTCTTTTGTTTTCATTGGTGCTTAATAGTCCCTCAGTCTTTTTTATTTAAGGTAGAAAGACGCCTTTGTGTACACTGGAGGCAGGCGGGCAGTAAAAACCGAAGTAGAAATGGGTTAGCAGGCGTCAGCCATATGGGACAGCCAGGGCCTTCAATCCTGGCAGGGAGTTTGGGTGGGTTAACTATACACAAGGCCCTCTTTTCATTGGGAATGGGAAACATCGCTGGTGTTTATAGTTGCTTTCAGCATAAACACTTATACTGCATCTTGCTGCCCCCAGAATAGTTGGCTCACTTTTTTGAGACCAGTTAAACAATCTCGTGTGTACGTGTTAGTTAAATATATAATCTTTTGGTAATGCCATTTTAAAAGTCTTTGTGTGTGTGTGTGTGTGTGTTGTCTTAATGTTGTGTTATAAGCTCTGTATAAAAAGTCAATCCTTCGAGCTATACACAAATTGATAGCCATGATAGCGGCATTCATTACTTACCACATTTCTTTTTAACATTTATGGTATTTTGTGTAAGATGGGGTGGTCTGTATTCTATTTTGGATTGTTCTATTCTGTCTACCCAGGGCAAAATTCTGGAAATGGTTTTGCACAAGAGCATGTCTGTGCTGTTGGCCCACATGGGTGTTGGTGCCATTTTTAGGATCCATCCACCAATGTGCTCATCATTTTCAGTTCGGAAACAGTATGAATCGCTTTCTGCCCTAAATTGTTCTGTAAGGATCACTACTAAAGAGTGAACAAAAAGATTTTCTTATGTATTACGCCTGTTCGTAAATCTTTCTGTTCTCACCTTATCCATTGTCTCACAATGTGCAGAGACTACCTCTTCAGACTTTTTCTGGCATTGACCAAAATGGGTATCTATCAGATAGGGCGAAGGAGGCTGGATGGGGTGAATTTTCTGGCTTCTTAATTCCTGTGTCCAGATAGAGCTCCATTAGGTAGTGTTCACTGACATCATGGACACTTTCTGTAGCTGTGGGCACTCATGGAGTCTCTGTTCAGTATTCCTTCTGAATATCTTTTATTTTGAAACTTTGGGCCTACTCCCATTCCTGTCTAGTTTTTGTTGACCTCTCTATTCTTGTAAGTGGGTTGCCTTTGCTATTAAAATGAACAGAGCTATAGAAAATTCTAAATATTGAAAGTTGCTTAAAATACGTTAGAAGGTTCAGTTTTGTAGGAGGAAATCACACTTATTTTGAGGGTGAATATAAAAATTAAAGTCTGACATGTTTATTAATATTAAAGCAGGTTTCTTATTTTCTTTACAGCATTGTCACTGATGTTGCAGTTGGCGTGAAGGTAGGATGCAAATCTAGCTGATGATGAACTGGCAACCTATTAGTATGATGTATGTTAATTTGTGGAGTTGAAGTGAGCTACAAGATTTTAATAAATGATTGTCAGATGACATTTTGTCAGCGAGATATGCGTTAATAAACAGAAAACTTAAGTTGGAGGGTGACTAGAAAAGAGAATCTAATATCAAGATCAGTCACATGGGTGCCCCGTTAATATAGTGATATAAACTTTTTACATTTAAAAACTTTAAATACTTCATAAACATTTTTAAATAAATATATATCATTCCAATAGATGTATTCTCTCAGAAATAATGTTTGAGCAACATTTTGTTCTCATTGCTTGCTTCGTGGTGACCTTAAAAACTGACTTTTTTCCACCTCCGGACCTGCAAACAATTCCAAATGAGGTCATCAAGTCTTGGATACCTGTAATGGGAGCAGAATATGGGAATGAAGTTTTGTCCTGCATATCTGAGAGCAGAAGTTTGCTTCTGTTTTTTTTTTTTTTTTAATTTTTCCTTTCTCTCCACCCTTCATTTCCACATTGGTACAGTTCTTATAACTGTAGAATTTATAGTTAATTTTAGTTAGCCCTCTGATTCTTTCATTCTTGAAGTGAATTTTGCGTTCGGGAATCAGATCAATACTTTGTACCAGCTAGATGCGACAAAAAACTAGTTAACATGAAGGGAACAATGGCATGGGTCTAGCCTTGAACTATACAGACAAATATGTTGCCACAGCTGCACAATTTATGAACAGATGAGAGCATTTTCTAGTGTGTATATTTGTTGAAGAGCATATTTGGGATTATGAAAGCGAACACAGCAAAATTCTTTCATTATGAAGTAGACTCTTGAAAGTAGCACTCCAAAAAATAAACTTCCAATTGCACTAGAAACAACTACATTACATAATTTCAGCACTTTAACCCCTTTCAGTATCAGTCTTTTAGGATCCCCGAATCATATATAATGAAATAATTCTTGTTAAATTCTTCTCTTAGAGAATCTTTGTTTTATATCCTGCGGTACTTAAAGGCAAAACTTTCCTTCATTCCAAGACCATCACGTTCTTAGAATTCTAAGTTTTTCATGTTTCTAAGTTTAACCATTGATGTGACATGTTCAGAACAAATTGAGATCCATTATCTAAAGTGTATTTTAAAATAAATGAGAAAATTCCCTATGTACAGGGCTCGACAAACTGTGGCGAGAGCTACTCGCCAGCTCCGCACTGCGCATGCACCAGACCGGCTCTGCGCATGTGCGCAGTGCCGGTGAATGGGGCGCACGGAGCGGCCGGCTGAAATCTACTCGCCTCAAGCGAGTAGAAAAAGTGGTTTGTGAAGCCTTGCCTATGTACATCTGTATATAAAAAGTAAACATTTTAGTGAGGATATATTTTGTTTATCTTGTGGAAGATGTTGCATGAAGAGCCTAAAAAAGATTGGCAAACTACAACAGTCAATAAAGGGAGGACCCTTTAGAGAACAAGCCCCCAAAAGAGTCAGACATCTGAGGTAACATATATACAGCGACAGGAAGATAGTCATGGGCACCTTATAGTGTTAGAGAGTCAGGTACTTCACAATTTTTTTCTTGAAAGCAGAATTTGTGCTTGTGGTATTTTTTTTGTTGTTGTTGTTGTTGTTGTTAAAGGAAAAACGCATCTATTTGCACAGATGAGGAAAGTGCAGGGTAAGAGCTAATTTTTGAAGAAAGCAGTTACAAACTGTTATGCCTAACTTCAGTACCAAGCAGACTGATTTAAACTGCATTAAAGAAGAGACTTATCAGAGAC